GAGGGCGAGGGCGAGGGCGGAGTGAAGGGCGGCTAGGAAGGGCGGGGGCGGCGCTCGCCCTCGCGTTGGCGGCAGTGGCGCAGGCGGAGGAGGGCGCAGAGGGCAGGGACGGCGAGGAGAATCAGCAGGGATGCGGCCAGCCAGATCGAACGAGTCAGTGGGCCCCGCCCAGCCCCACCGCTCCTCCCATAACATGGGAGTGAGTTGTGGCCAAGCTGGTTGTTGGGACCGGCGCTTAGTCCGGCTCAGCGCAAAGCTCCGCGAAAACGGGACGCACTCGAGTGCGGCCCCGCTTGCGACGACTTGGTCAGGGGAGCAAGCGCACAGGCTGGAGTGGGAGTCGAGATGAGAGAGGTGGAGGAGGCACACGAGGAGGCGAGCGTCGGCCAGGGGAGTGCCACGTCTGATGGGCGATTTACCCCAGAGATGGATGAAGAGAGGGGAGAAGAAACAATAGAGGAGGGGGAGGAGGAGGGGTACGCTGAGACCACAGAGTAGGAGCTGAGGAGGAGGAGGACTAGAGTAGAACCATGGTGCATCAGCGATGCTGCAAAGCACCCTCCCGTCTCAGGCCCGCTGATCAGAAGCTACTACACGTATTCCGCTTCATGACCGTAAGACTCCTCCAGCACAAGGATACGATAATCTGTTTGGCTTGCGATTCAAGCGGGCAGGCCATCACCATTACGGACATGTCAGGCAAAAGCCATGTCTTGAAAACAAGCCGCCTTCCACCCGTATGACCTTTGCACACTCCTGCAAGTCGGGCCTTCAAGCATTATGTTATTGGCGATCCCTACTGTGGTGTTTTTCATACGATGGCGCGCCTTGAGGAGGCGAAGGACAAGTGGCGCGAGGACAAGGCAACGGAAGGACTTACCCAGTGAGCCTCATGCACAGGGCTCACATAGTCCCCTCGTCCGATCCCGATTCGTCCGTTTTCAGTGCTGGTGGGCTTGTTGGTACAAGGTGTCCTCACGCTTCTGCAGAAACCGAATGCAACCGCCAGATGAGCGACGCAAAAAAAACCTGGGCGTCTGCGCCGACATCGGCGCGTAAGCTGCCCGCGTAAGGTCGCGCGTAAGTTTCATCGTCTCCATTGTGGCGTACTGCGCGGACGGCCCGCGTACGCCGCGGCGGAAGGTCGCTACGTCACCTCGCGTAAGACCCGATTTTGATCGTCGCCCAAATATGACCGTCTGACCATTCCCGACCACGAATGCGATCGCACGCGCGTGCTTCGTGTGCTCGGGCCCGACACCGGCGTCGGCTCGACGTTAGCGTCAGGAATACAATTGGGTCCCATGCCAAGAAACACCCTGCTCGCCTCCAGGGTGCCCTAGGTTTCTTGGGTCTCGATGGTTTTGCTGTGGGAGACGTGACGCTCCCACACCAAAAATCCATGGACGTCCTGGGGTCTCAGGGTTGGGTTTCTTGTGGTCGGGCCTCCACTGTACGCTGTATGGCCCGACAGTGCCGACCAATATCTAGCTCCTGAGCAACGACATCGTCCTCGAGCCGATCGCGCGCATCAGGAATCAGATGCACGACAGCGGCACGGCGACGCGGAGCGGCGCCACCATGGCGGCCAACCGCTCCAGGGGTACGACCGCGCCCACGTGTTTTTCTTGCAAACGCACCGATCTTGGCGCCCTCGAGGTTGCAGCCTGGTGATCTCGCCGATTGCGAGCCCATGGTATGCCTAAGAGCTCTGCCGCTGCTTTAAATCTTTAGATCAAGTACAACAACTACCCGCATGCACAACATATGTCCCCAGGGACCTGGCAGAAGCACCACGGGTCCGCCAGCGGAAAGTGGCGGAAATAAGCATCGTTCCCCAAGAGACGTGCTCTTGTTTTTTTTTTGGGGGGGGGGGGTCGTCGAGGTTTTTGGAACGGGCCGTGTGACTTGACGTGGACTATTGGTTCCGCTCGTCCGTGATGCTCCGTTTGCCGGTCGTGTGGCCCAGCAGGGGCACCCAGGGGCCGTGAAGATTCAAAGCTCGCCGTCGTGCTCTGCTTCACGGCGCGAGGGTGTCGGGGGAGAGCTGCCCCGACAGGTCAGGAGCGCTTCCGCAGCCTGATACCGAGCTACATCCGCGACTCCTCGGGCGCCATAGTTGTCTACGACGTGACCAGCCGGGCCTCCTTCGCGGGCGCCCCAGCACCGCGGCCGCTCGCCCCCCGATTCGGGGATTCGGGTGCAGAGAGGGGGGGGGGGCGACGCCAAGGTGGGGTCCAGGGGGCGAGTCCAGCCAGCTGGATGTTCACATGCCCCTCTTCCAGGAACCCGCCTGGATGGATTTCCTCAGAGCCCCGAAGCATCAGGGGTAACTCGGGTCAGGGTTAACTCGGGTTCGTTTTTCGGGAATCCGAACACGAGTTACCCCGGATAATTCGGGCGTCCAGAGCCCCACATCATCAGGGGTAACTCGGGTCAGGGCTAACTCGGGTTCCTTTTCCCGGGAATCCAAACCCGAGTTACCCCGGACCCGAGTTACCCCGGATAACTCGGGCGCCCAATTTCCCTGCAGCCCTGTCTCTGCCCCTGCCCCGTCCGTACGCCGGCCGCCCCGGCTGATGCACTGCGGCGAATCCTGCCGGTCCCCCAGGTCGAGCCCCGCCGATGTTGGCCGAGGGGCCCGCTGCCGATCACGCCGGCGTCGGGGAGGAGGAGGATCGGAGGAGGGCCAGCCTAGACCACGGAGGCCACTCCACGCGTTTTCGCCGGGGCCTCCTGCGGGGCTTGCGGCGAGGCTGGGTCCGCCTGCCGAAACGGGCCAGTGTGGAACCCTGGCGTGATCCAGGGCCCGACTTTGCAGCGGTTCAGGGAGGGGCGGGAGGCGGGAGGACCGCCCTTGTTTTAAGTGGCCTTCCCCCGAGAGGAGAAGGAGGCTACGCTGCCCTACTCCCGATCGCCCCGAAGGCCGTGCCAATCTAGAACTCGCGGGGGAAATCTTGGCCTGTGCCTCTGGCACCCGGGCGATTATGCGATCATCGTGCATCCGTGCTTCCGGCACCCGAGCGAGGATGTGACCACATCCGGTCGTGGGCGCCACCGCTCTTGGATCGGGGCCGAAGCCAAGGCGAGCGCAGACAAGTGGATCGAGGAAGCCGCGGGGCGCGTGCGCTGCCAGGTATGCTGGGGCAGCTTGCCAGGTTCGAGGTAGCACTCACCCACATGTCAAGTGCGACGTCTCAGCTCACATGTCGAATGGGGGAGCACTGGTTTCCACAAGCGTTCCCTATATGAACTTTCTTGTGTTCGGGACCACTTTGAGCTTGCAGCTTTCGAGTTGCCCACAGCTTCAGAAGCTGTGCGTTCTTCTCTGACCACAGCACTGCGACGACGTAGGATCAGATCCTCGGCTATGCCCTTCCTTGACGTCTTGGCTGGAGCAGATGCTCACCCTCCCCTCGGCTCCCAGCCCCTCCCAGTACCACTCCCGTCGCCCGTCCCCCTCGGCTCCCCCCCCCCCCCTCCCACTCCCGCTGCTCTGCCCGGAGCGACCCACTCCCCGCTCTCCCCCTCCTCCTCCCCTAGCCCCTGCCAGATGCTGCCTTGATGCCGTCCCAGGCGGGGCCGGAGCAGGAGGAGGACAGCCAAGACTCAGAGCGTGAATCACCTACCCCGCTTTCGCTTCCAGGCAAGACCGAGTCATACCACGCGCCTCCTCGTCAAGCGGCCCGACCAGTATACAGGCCGTAGCTTGGCATCGCTTGGCATCTCTTGGGAGCGAGGGTGGTCAGAAGCGAGGTAGGGTTGTGTCCCCCCTAAAGACTCGGGGGTGGACAGAGCCCCCAACAGTGACACGTCGATTCGTGAATTGTCCTTTTGTTCGGCTCTCGAGAGGGCGCCGTGGTCGTTTTTTCCAGGCTTGCCCCCGCCAGGTTTGGGCCTCAGGTCCTTTTCACCAAACCACGCTTTGCTAAAGGTGGGTCTGTCCATCCCCGAAGGAATAACGCATAAGGAACGACAAATGACAAATAACGCATAAGGAACTGTAAATAACGCATGCAAGCCTAAGGAACGACCGAGCCCCTTTTGAAAAGTAAGTGTTCCTTATTCAAGCCGCTCGCTGTAGGGTTGTGTTGCCCCGAAGGACGCCAAACGCAGGGGCCCCTCTGGACGCAGGATGGGGCTCTGGCCTTCGGGGGCGCCCCCCCGGGCCTGCAGGTCGGGGAGAGCCTGCCCTGCGGCCGAGGCCCGCCGTGGCCAGAGAGAGAAACAACAACAGACACCTTCGCTCCTCCTCCTCCGGCGCTCCTCCTCCTCCTCCTCCTCCTCCTCCTCCTCCTCCTCCTCCTCCTTCTCCTCCTCCTCCCCCCCCTCCTCCTCCTCCTCCTCCTCCTCCTTCTCCTCCTCCTCCTCCCCCTCCTCCTCCTCCTCCTCCTTCTCCTCCTCCTCCTCCTCCTCCACCTCCTCCGGCGCTCCCTCTTCGCTTGCACGTCGACTGCACTTGGGTGAGCTGCTCATGCCTCGGGAGCCATGCGGGAGGGGGTGGCGCCCGCCCCGCTGCTTCTTTTTCCTCCCAGCCTTCTCCCGCCGCGCGGCGTCTCGGTGCTGATCTGTTTCCCCGAGGATCCAGGGCGGTGGCCCTCTCGCGCCGCCCTGCTCACGGCCGGACTTCGGGGTCCGTTGGCTGCGCGCTCGCTCGCTCGCTCGCTCGCCCTTTTTTTTTTCTCAGGCCCGCCTGGTGGTCCTCGGTCTCACTTCGCGGCGCCAGTCGCGCACCTGCCTGTGGAGAGGACCGCATCTGTCACAGCCTTATCACTATCTGGAGTCGGCTAGCCTGTTTGTGCTTGTCATCTGGCGGTAACGGCCATAACCGTGTGGCGGGGCGGGTTTGGGGGGAGGGGGGCCAGGAACGCCACGGTTTGCGCTGCGCGGTCTGGCAAGTGAGCACTCGCAGACGGCGCTGGCGCCGCCGGAGGGGGTCGGAGGCGGCCTCGGTGACGGGCGTTATCGCGTACAGTTTTTCTGGAAGAAAAACCATCTAGCTTATGGAGTCGATTCAAACAAAAACGTTGGAAATAAAGCAAAGCGTTGACAAAAACGTGTTCAAATCGTTGAAAAATCGAGCTCTCCGAAACAAGCAAAACGACAAACACAAAAACAAGTCGAGGACGTCCGGATCGAGAGGGGGAGCGACGTCATCATCGTGCTCGTCGGCAACAAGACCGACCTGGCGGACAAGCGGCAGGTGTCCGACGAGGAGGGCCGGGCGAAGGCCTCGCCGGGCGGCCCGGGCTCGAGAGGGCGGGGCGCGGGGGGAGGAGGACTGGCGGCAGCGACGGGGGTCTCAGATCAGATTTGGTCATCCTTCTCGTCGTCCTCCTCCTCCTCCTCCCCCTCCTCCTCCTCCTCCTCCTCCTCTTCCTCCTCCTCCTCCTCCTCCTCCTCCCTCGCCCCCTCCTGCTCCTCCTCCTGCTCCCCCTCCCCCATACCCCTCCCCCTCCTCCTCCTCCTCCTGCTGCGGGGGAGAGGAGGGGTCGAAGAAGAATGGCCCAGGTGGGGAGAAGCACCGACCCCGAGTCGCCCATGGACCCTCCACCCTGAACAGAAGGGTGCTGTTTTTCACCGTCGAGGGTCCATTCGCCGATCCGTCGGCGAGAGTTGGCCCATGCCAGGTCGATGTTATCATCCTGAGCCAGGCCCCCCCCCCAAAAGTTCCCCCACATTAGGATGGGGAGCGTGCAGGTTGGACGATATGCCTGTCATTCGCTCCTGTTTTCCCAGAGCTGGTCCTCCTCCTCCTCCTCCTCCTCCTCCTCCTCCTCCTCCTCCTCCTCACCTTTGCCTCCTGTGGCACTGCCTCTCAGCGGGCATCGCCGCTTCACCCTCAGCGCCGCTTGCGCGAGAGCTCCGTGGCAGGTCGGGCGGAGCCCAGAAGGCGGAGGCGCACCCGGGGCGCTCCAGACACGGGCCCGCCCTCCGCGCACCTCCGCCCCTCGGCGGAGGACGGCGGAAGGCTGGCAAGAACCGGCGGACGTACAGTCGGCCCGGATTGATAGGTCGGCCCTGCCGGCTCAAGGGTGGCCTTGTGTCCTGTGCCTCGCGACGCGTGCCTGCTTACACTCCCGTGGCGATTTGGCCCTCGGAAGGGTCCTGTGTCCCCTCGCGAGTCCTGTCCAAGCAAGGCCTGCTGTAAAACGGCATTGGCTGCGCCAGCGGCAGGCGGCGGAGGCACAGAGGAAGGAGCAGCATGCACTGTTTGCTGGAGCTCCGCGCGGATTCCCTGGGTCGGCGCGAGGACCTCTTCGGGAGGGGAGGTGCAGCGCCGGCCCAAGAGATCAGCCCGGTCCTCCGAAAGTTTAGGTTTCTGTTTTCGGTGGTTTCAAAGAGAGGGAACGTATTCAGTTTCAGGGGTGCTTGTTGAGGTTTACAGACTGGCAGAGATGAGGATTATGAGATCCATCGGAGGAGTCGGGATAGGGCTACGGTGGTCACGTACTCGTGCGTTGCCACAGGACTCTGTATCCTTTTACGGCAAGATCACTGTGCAGGTCGTGTTAAGCGATCGTCTACCACACCACAACTATTTGTTGCATATGTGACGTGCTCAGTCAGCAACGATGGCTCAACATTTCGCGTCATGTGGCGTACCATAGAGATGTGCTCAAAGACGATTGTACTTTATATAGTCACATGCCTCGAACGGCATCGTCTCAGTTTCCCCAGAAGGTGAGACGACAGCATTCACCATCATTGGCCCTCTGGAGCGAGCGACATACTACAAGGTTGCTCTCGGGAAGCCGGTCACGCTTGGGCATTCATGCGCTCGCTAAGCGTGCACACTCCAGATCGAAGTAGCTTTCTCGATTCTTGGGCCCCGAAGCTCGCAAGCTGCTTTCATGTTCATTCAAAAAGAACCGCGCCGTCGCAGGAAAAAGGAAGGGAGGGGCCGAATGAATGTAGAGAGAGGGGCTGGGAGGCATGGATGGAGAGGAACCTGTCCGGGATAGAGACAAGAAGCGAAGGCCGCCGAGTCGGGCGTGCTGTTCTTCGAGGCCAGCGCCAAGAGCGGCGACAACGTCAAGAAGATCTTCCAGGCCCTGGCCACCAAGCTTCCCCGCCAGGACGAGGCGCTCTTTCGCGTGCGCGCGTGCGCGTGCGCGCCCGCGGGGGCTCCTGAGGGAATTCCACGGTGGTGGTGGTAGTTGCCGATCTTCTCTACCCTGATGGAGGAGGGATGGAGCAGCGCCAGAGGGAGTCGCCGGCAGGGGATTTTCATGTCCCCCCGGAAGCCGAGGAAACGACGACGACGTCGTCGTTGTCCTCCTCCACATTTTCCCTTCCCCCCTCGAGGAGGCGGGAGGGTAAAAGATCGACGAGGGTCTGCGCGTTTTCGGCCGTCTTTGAAAGTTCTAGGGCGCGTCTCCCGGAGGAAGCGGCAACCCTCGGAGTGGTCACCCCCCGTGGCGCCGTGGCATCACAGGGAGGGTGGGGCCCCCCGCGCGGATAGTCCACGCGCGGGAACCTCGAGGAGCACGATGGCTGCTTCGGGGGCTCGTCGTCCTGCGCCGATCCGTCGCCAGGCAGGCTTGGCCTCGAGAGGCATCTGGCGGGGACCTCCAGAGGCCGTGATGAGGGGACCTCGGGGAACCTCCGGGGGCCTCCAGAGACTTCCACTCGAACGACGCACGGGCTGTGGTGCTCTGTTTTCGCAACGGGGGGCGGTGTTTGGTGGGCCCGTGAGGCGGGGACCGGAGCAGGCGCACCAGCGATGCTGCAAGACGCCTCCTTCGTCCAAAGGCACTGCGAGAGGCGGGCCCCCTTAAGAAGACCAGCACGCCAAGGGGCCTGCCAAGTCGGGCGAGAGAGCCCCGTTGTGACGAGAGCCTGCCCGACATGCCGTTGCAGCGCACCGCCACCGATTCCGCGAGGCATGATGGCGCAGTTCGACGAGGTGTCCAGCGTGATCCTCTTCCCACTCCTCCTTCTCCTATCTCGCGCCTCGTTTTCGCCTCCTCCTCCTCCTGCTTTTCCCCTTCTCTGTTCTCCTCCTCCGCCTCCTCCTCCTCAGCCAGGTATGATCGCGTAGCTCAGTGAGGTTGTCCAGCGAGGTGCCCGGTTCGAAACATCCGACCGCTCACCCGCGTGATGGCTGCGCAATTTATATAGCTGTCTGGCCACGGCCTTCATGGACGTCTGGAGCTTAGTGGGCACTGGAACCGGTTCCGTTTTGCCGTTTTTTTGCCGGTTCCGACGCCGTTTGTTTACCGGTTCCGTCGCCGTTTTTTGACCGGTTCCGGCTCCGGTTCCAATCCTGGAGCCGTTTTTTTGCCGTTTCCGGCCGCCGTTTTTTTTGCAGTTTCCATTTTCAAGGTGCACTTTTTTGGAAACGAGGAAAAAATGGCCCTGCCGTTTCCGGGGCCCACAAAGGTCTGGAGCGAAAGAGGTATCCAGTTTGAGATGGAGTCGACCTTCGTGCGTGCAGCTGCCACATGTGTTGGAGTCTCTTGCCTCCGTGTTCAAGGAAGCGTTTACGAGAGCATCATGCGGAACATGATCCGCACTCCAGCCTGGATCGTTTTGCAACATTTTAAGACGAACGTGCCCGGCGCTACAGCGAGAGCCACATTTTGAAGTGGAGGCGACCTCCACCCTTGCATTTGTTGCAAAGTGTCAGGACGAATGTGTTTGGGTCAACGGCAAGAGCCTCATTTGAAGAAAAGGTGCCCTGTGTTCCATCATGCTGACGGCTGCAACCTTTTGAGACGAATGGGCGTGGCGCCAATCTCCCCATTTCGATAATCACGCCCTCTTCCTCAGATCTGTTCCAAACTGCTGGGACGAACGTGTGGAACGCTACGGCGATAGCCGCATTTCCAACGAGTGCGATCCCAACCCTTCATCGATGTGGCCGTTGTTAGGACTAAGGCCCGTGGCGCTCAAGCGAAGCCTAATGTTGAAAGCGACGCCTTTTTCATCCGTGCAACCTTGGCGAATTGCAGGTGTCAGGGCAATCATTGGTGAGGAGGTTCTGGGCGAGGTGCCCGGCCCGCCCTACCTACACGTCCAGGTCCTGTACGCGACAGGGATGAGTTACCCATCAGCCAGAAGGAAAATGGGGTGGGGGGAGAAGGGAGCAGGCAGGCAGGGAGGGAGGGATGGAGGGCGGATCGTAGTGCATCGCTGATGCCCTTGAGGGTAGCCACAGCCCTGTCGAGTCGGGTGGGGTATATGGGCTCTCCCATCCTTGAAGCGGCGCTCGTGGAGCTCGGGATGACAAGCCCTTTGGTTGGTTAGGGATGTAGGGAGAAGGATAGGGATGATGCTGCTGCTGCTGATGATGATGATCGTGGTGGTGGTGGTAATGATGATGGATGATGACGATGACGATGACGATGATGATGATGATGATGATGATGATGATGATGATGCTGATGCTGATGCTGATGCTGATGATAATGATGATGATGATGCTGAGGGTGGTGATGATGATGATGATGCTGCTGATGCTGATGCTGCTGATGCTGATGGTGATACAGATGATGACGGTGATGGTGATGGTGATGGTGATGGTGATGGTGATGATGATGATGATGATGATGATGATGACGATGATGATGATGATGATGATGATGATGATGATGATGATGATGATGATGCTGATAGTGATGATGATGATGATGATGATGATGATGATGATGATGCTGATGCTGATGCTGATGCTGCTGCTGCTGCTGCTGATGATGATGATGATGATGATGATGATGATGATGATGCTGAGGAGGAGGAGGAGGAGGAGGAGGAGGAGGAGAGGAGGAGGAGGAGGAGGAGAGAAGAGACGCGGGAGGAGGGGGGCAGGTGGAGGAAGAGGCGCACGGGGAGGAGAGCGGGAGGAGGCGCCCCTTCCTTGGGAGGGGGGGGGGAGGGGGCGCCTTCCTCGCCCTGCGCCGCCTCCTCGGCAAGCGCCGACCGAGCCCCGCAGGGCAAGAGCTCCGGCGCCGGCCCCAGCAACATTACCATCAACAGCACGCCGGCCCCGAGCCAGGACCAGAGGGTGGAGGGGCTCCCTCCTCCTCCTCCTCCTCCTCCTCCTCCTTCCTCACTCCTCCTCCTCCTCCTTCTCCTCCTCTCCTCCTTTCCTCCTCCTCCTCCTCCTCCTCCTCTCTCCTCCTTTCTCCTCCTCCTCCTCCTCCTCCTCCTCCTCTCTCCTCCTCTCTCCTCCTCTCTCCTCCTCTCTCCTCCTCTCTCCTCCTCCCCCAGCCCCCCTCCTCGTCGTCTTCCTGCTTCCAGGGCTGGAGGGGGGAGGGGGGCCCGGGGGAGGGCCGGTCGAGGCAGCGGCGGCCCTCCCTGGCACTGCGAACGTTTGTTTATGCACTGTTTTGGCGATCGGCGCGAGCCCGCCCCCCCCTCCCCCTCCCCTCCCCCCCCTCCCCCCCCCCCCCCCCCCCCCCCCCCCCTCCCCCATGGAGTGGATCTTGGCTGTTTTTCGGGGCGCCCGTTTCGAGCAGGGGGGGTCTCCCCCCTGGGGCGCGCAGTTGCAGACAGTCGCGCTATCAGCAGAGGTCTGGAGCCCTCCCCCCCCTCCCTCCTCCCCTTCCGCCCAATGTCGAAACGCCGAATAATGACAATGACAATAATGATAATAATGATAAGAAGAATATGAACACGATTCATAATGCTAGTAATAAGAATATGATTGACAGTACTAATCATGATAAGCATGGTAATAGCCATAATAATACGAATGCCAATATTTCGAATAATAAGGACTAATTCCATAATAGTAATAATAAAAAGACTAATAATAATGATAATAATGCAGAGGCGAATACTTATATTAATAATGATATTAATGATACTGATCAGAAAAACCAGACGACTACTACTACTACTACTACTACTACTGCTACTACTACTACTACTACTACTACTACTACTACTACTACTAATTATTATTATTAATATTATTATTATACTACTCATAACAATAATAATAATCATAATCATATCAATAATACTAATAATACTATTAATAATTCTAATAATGATATTCATGAGAATACTGTGAATAATAAAGCGCCAACATTTTGACCTGCTGTTTGGGCCTCCGAGAGGCGCCCCGTCGCCACGCATCGAGAAGGGTCGGGAGGGGCCTGCGAAGGGGTCGTGGGGCCGATTTGGAGCGGGTCTGGGCCACGCGGGGAGGGGAGGCGCTTATACATTGATCATGTTTTTATGTATTCGATTGTTCTTTGGTTTCTTGGGGGCCAAGATCCTGTCATTTCTACTTGTTCTATCCTGGGCCTCTTCCTGGCCACTCGGGGGCCAAAAACAGTCAGAAACGAGCTCAAGTAGAAGTGAGCACGCTTAGATATGAACGACGTGTGTGTCTCCACTGGCCTTCCTTCGAACAGGACTGCCCGCGGTTCGGACAGTGCGGCAGCGTCGCAGTCGGTTGCATTCGGTCGGTTCGGTTCTGTCGGTCGGTTGTCGTGTCGTCGATGCTCTGCTGAGCCCTTCAGGGCTGCCTGCGGTCTGTCGGTGTTAGTCTGTCTCGGTCCCGTGGTCGGTTCTATTGCTTTCCGGTTGAGCTGTCGCCGTGGGCGGCCTTTCGGGGGAGGCGGAAGAGAAGCATGATCGAGAATCTACGTAGGAGTCTCTGGCTCCTTTGAGCAGACCTTTGGGCACCCATACATTTGACGTTGCAGCTTGGTCGATACAGGCGTTTCTTTCCTTGATGATGGCGGTCGATTTGGTGTGGAGGGGGGATGCTTTGCAAACGAAGCGATCCTCGTCGAAAAGCAACAGTCCTGGGGGTGGGGCCGATCATTCCCTGGAAGAACGTGACGTCGCAGGGCTCGGCAAGGTGGAGGAGGACGAAGAGGAGGAACACACGCGGGGGCTTCTGCTGTTCTCCTTCCTCTTCAGCACTTCTTTTTCACAGCGTCCACGGTGACCTTGAGGCTGCCCAGGGTCTCTGCAGCGGGAGACGGTGCTGGCCATCCCTGGATCGAGGCGTCCCTCCGCTTGCCGGCGGCCGAAGCCGGGGCGCCGGACTGGCGAGGCTGCCGGGAGGGCCGATCACCAGAGTCACGCGAGGGAGCGCCAGTTCTGGTGACGGCGAAGCCAGACAGTGGCCTCTGCGGTAGCGCCGGACCTCGGTCGGCACCCCCGGGACGCTCTCAGCGAGGCGCAGTTGGGCGCTGCGTAATGGGGGGATCGTAAATGGGGGGGCGGCGAGTGTGGTCCGAAAAAGGTACCCAAACGGTACCCAAACGAGCCCCCTGGGGCTCTGGAGGGGCCCGAAAGGGGCACGAAAGGGGACATTTTCTGACCCCCCCATTTGTGACCCCCCCATTAAAGCCACGCCCAACGCAGCCGCTGGAACGCATCCCGAGGGCGGGAAGCCGCCCAGACACCACGAGACTGCGAGACTACGAGGGCGGGAGGCCGCCCCGGCCTCGCGCGGCCGACGCCTATACGCGGGACGGGTCTCGCCGTCGGCACGCCGCCTCGCCCTGATGTCTCGCCGCCGGCCCCGTCCGCCCAGGAGGCCTTCGGAGGCTGGCCTCCCGCGTGCACGCCGCGCGGTAGTGCTCCGTCCTTCGGGCTGGCCCACAAGGGGGTCCAGCGACAAGGGCGAGGTGCAACAGATTTGGTGCAGTAGGTTTGTGGGGTTGCACTACATTTGGGGCGTGCAGTGCATTCTGGGGCGCGCATACATATATATATATATATATATATATATATATATATAATATATATATATATATATAATACATATATAGTGCTGGACTTTCGCGTGCAGTACATTACTTGCAATAGAATGCGATACAATTCATCGGCGCAGTACGTTTGCAATCGATTTGCCCCAAATCTATTGCACCACCCCCTTTCAGCTGGACCCCCTTTTGGGTCACCCGAATTCTTTGGACGGCGACGCAGCAGGCGTGCTCGAGCAGTGGCTGCTCGAGGCGCTGGCTGGCGTGCAGACTGCGTCCGCCGACTGTCGGCCTGGCCAGCCAACGATAGTCTGCCAGGTCGGCAGCTGCGCTGCGCATGCGCTTCTGGCCCTGCAGCGCTGCCGGGCCGCTGGTCTGGCTTGATCTGCTAACCGATCCCAGGGGAACGGACGATGACATATACATAAAAAATCGGGGGTCCGCGCGGGTTTCTCGGATCCGCGCTGGACCCCCCTGGCGGCGCCTCCGAAGCCGCCCCCGGCGCGCTCCGCGCGCAAGGGAGGGGGGTCCAGCGCGGATCTACGAAATCGGCGCGGACCTCCGAGTTTCTCTATGTTTATGTCATGTTTCGTTCCCCCCCCTATGATCTGCCAGCCGACCCTGCCTCTTCCCACAATTCACAGCTCGCCTCCTTGACCTCGGGCTTCGGTGACCCGTCTCTTCCTCCTTCTCTTCCTCCTCCTCCTCCTCCCTCCCTCCTCCTCCTCCTCCTCCTCCTCCTCTTCCTTCCTCCTCCTCCTCCTCCTCCTCCTCCTCCTCTCCTCCTCCTCCTCCTTCTCCTCCTCCTCGGGTCGCCTATGGCCCCGGGGGAAGCCGTGCACCTTCGCCTCCTCCCCCCCTCCTCCCAACTCCTCTGCTCCATAGTCGACCTGGGAGCCTCGAGCCTACTGCGCTTGCTTTCCCACCCGCTGCTCCCCGGAAGTCGGGCCTGTCCCTCTACAGATGGAGTGTTCAAAAATAGTCACAAGATAGCCTGGGGACGATTTGCTTAAGTGTGTGCTTGATAATTTTCTGTTGTGTTCTTTGACTATGTTTGGTCCTTCGTCCGAAATCCGTCTGGATGGGGGACGTGCCCAACCTGATGCTCCCCCCTTTCCTTCTCCTCCTCTCCTTTCCAGCCTTCTCCTCCTCTCCTCCTCTCCTCCTCCTCTCCTCCTCTCCTCCTCTCCTCCTCTCCTCCTCTCCTCCTCGTCCTCCTCTCCTCCTCTCCTTTCCAGCCTTCTCCTCCTCTCCTCCTCTCCTCCCCCCTTTCCTTCTCCTCCTCTCATTTCCAGCTCCTTGCCTCGGGCTGGCGCGCGCGCGCGCTCAACGGCGAGGCCCGGTGGCTCCCCCCGCAGATGCCGCGCTCCCGTCTCCTCCGCCTTCGGGTTCCTACTTGCTCTCTCTCTCTCTCTCTCGCTCTCTCTCTCTCTCTCTCTCTCTCTCGCTCTCTCGCTTTCTTTTTCTCCACACCTACACCATCTGATTGCTTTTCTCGCCTCCCCCAGAAAACTGATGAAGAGGTAGCCCGCCCCCTCCGCGTATCATTTTCTCGCACACACACACACCACACACACACGCACAGGATTAAATCATCTGGGTGGTCATAATTGCTCCCATCCGAGGCTTTCGCTTCTCCTCCGCGTGACGTCCATATTTTTTGTCGCACGCCACGTGGTGTGCACCAGCTGCGTGTGCTCCCCCTCCACTGCGGAAACGTCGCCCTCCCTTAGAGGGAGTGGCCAGCGCCAGGTGGGCCTGCAAATAATCCTCCTCCTCCTCCTCCTCCTCCTCCTCCTCCTCCTCCTCCTCCTCCTCCTCCTCCTCCTCCCTCCGTAGCCATGTTGGCTCAAGTGCCATTCCCCCGCGCGCGCAGCCCCGGGACCCGAGAGGCGACTCTGCAGGCGCGGAGGCCATGGAACGTTCATGAAGCTCCTGTTCTGGTCGACGATCCTTTACACTGCACGCGCGGTGATGCTCAGGGCCATCTGAGGTGCTCCATGGACGCCCCCAGCTGCAAGCGCGGCGGCTCCCTCATCAGCGTTTACAACTAGTACGACTTCGACTCGTACCCCGAACCCTCTTCGACCCCGCAGACGCCGTTCCCTCACTGCACTTGACGCCCGCCGGCGACGAGCGGTTGAAAAAGGGATTTTTGCGTCCACGTGCTGGCCCTGAGCTGGTTCGGATCTCTGTTCCAACAGCCGTCTCGTGCGAGGCGAAGGTTCTGGCTCGCGCGACGGACAACGTGTACAAGCTTGAGTTCAAGACTGGGCCCCACAGGCGCAACGGCTCCGAGTTCTGCGCGGTGGCGTCTGCACGT